AATGCTGCAAGTTGTTTTTGCATCCTAAAGACCAGGACAGCGCCACTTCACCCACAGTCTGATGGGATGGTAGAAAAGTACAACTGGACACTAGGACAGGAATTGGCAAAGTTTTGTAAAAGCCGCCAAGATGACTGGGATGTCTTACTCCCTCCACTATTGATGGCCTATAGGACAGCAGAGCATGAAACCACTGGATACACTCCAGCAAAGTTGATGTTTGGTCGGGAACTTCGGTTGCCAGTGGATCTGTTAACAGGACGCCCATCTTAAGAAGAGTTGCCTGAGAATATGTCAGAGTTTGTGAAAGTGTTATCGGAAAGGATGGATGATATTCACCACCAGTGTTGCGTCAGCGAGGTCACGTGACTAGTATCACGCCACGTTTTCTAGAAATATCCTGTTCCTTCAACAATGCCCTAACATTTACTTGATATGTGTTAGTCTTGTATATATAAGATGGTCACAACGTGACGGGACAATGTGTAGGTAATGAGTAATTGAATGTATGCGGACAAAATATTGTTGGCCACGTGAGACGTGAGCGTTTGTTATAGAGCGACTGTTGAAATTAAGTGTGTCGTAAGTTGTATTCGGAAAGAATAAACCAGTTTTATTTAAGAAAGAACTTGTGTCGCTAAAGTTTCGTCGGAACGAATTTACGGAAAATTAACTAACGAACGGAGACGTAACACTATTATTATTATTATAACTTATTACTTCATAATTATTATCATTACAATTTATTACTTTGTAATTATCATCATTATAATTTATTACTTTATAATTATTATCATTACAATTTATTACTTTATAATTATCATCATTATAATTTATTAATTTATAATTATTATCATTACAATTTATTACTTTATAATTATTATCATTACAATTTATTAAACTGGTCCTTTTTAATTCACTCACTGGGCAAGTTAACTTATTGTGCAAATCTTAATCAAAAATAATAATTAAATATAACTTTAGTTATACATACTCGCAAAAACCTTAATTTTTAAGTAACAAGCATACATTTTTGGAGTTTGTAATCAATATCCTCGCTCAAAAACAACTTTATGAAAGCACCTAACATTCAACATAACTATGATGACAGTCCATGCGATTTGGAGCTTATTAAACCAGAAATTCACATCTTCTTTCTCCATTCTCATTCAAAATTGACGGAAAAACTTTGATTAAAAACAAATTTTCCTCTTGACTACGGCTTGGTGTGGCTAAGCAGTTAGTAGACCAAGTATTTCGTATCGCAGCAAACTAAAGATAAATATTTAATTATACCAGGAGATATTTAATAAACAACGCACAAAAACAAAATTTTGAAACTAAAGCCCCACAGTAGCACAGCGGTATGTCTGCGAACTTACAACGCTAGAAACCGGGTTTCAATACCCGTGGTGGGCAGAGCACTAATAGCCCATTGTGTAGCTTTGTGCTTAACTTCAAACAAAACAAAAACAAACAATTGAAACTAAGTTTTCAAGGTTTATGATTTTTTAAAAACCCCAGTGAGCAAATTCGTAATTAATAGTTAACATGTCGCACTCGCGTCTATCGTTATCTGGAGCTGTATGCTTTTCCAATTTTCCGGAGGTATTTATGTCGTAATAAGTATTTATTATTTAAATTTATAGTTATAAGTTATAGCACTAATACAAAGCTCGATCAGAATTATTAATGTGTATTTTACTAATTAACATAATATTGGACTATAGCATCTTGTGATAAGCTTCCAGTATCATGAGTATGGTAATTTAAATTATTTATTTATAATTTGTAATAATATATTTTTTGGAATTATAGTTATTATTACTAATATTATCAATATCATTATTTATTATTGTTGTTGTTATTATTAATCATCATCATTAATATTATTGTTGTTGATATTGTAGCTGATCAATATTCAAATATTTAGACTGCAGGGTATTTATAATTTAGTGTTTGAAAGATCATTCTTGGCTGTCGGGTATTTAATTTAGCCAATGGGTTTAATATTTCACTTGTTTTGTCAGTTAGATCCTCCACCTCTGTTTCGTGAGAGCATAATTTAATTATTTTCACTTTGTTTACCACACAGTCTATCATATTTACGTGCCATGTTAAATAATCACCTACAACAATAACCTCTTTATGAAAGTTTATCTTTTCCAGTGTGTGAAAGTTTTTCATTTCCATTCCTATCTTTCCACATTGTTATCCTTCCCTACCCTAGTTCCTCATCTGCACAAGCTAAAGACTGATACATGTTACTTTTAGAACCAGTTCATTATTACTGTTTTTAAGTTCCAGAAAGTCATCATTAATCACTATCCTTTGCATGCAAAATCTTAAGTTCCTTATCAATTCATGCTGCCATTTCCCTCAGTTTACCCTTCTCAATAATCATTTATCCTAACATGTTTAGGATAGCCTTCAGTTTCTCCTCCAACCTTCATACTATATGCATATTGAACAATTTCATCACTAGCTTCCTTAGATGTGCATGCTAGTCCCAAAGTTTCCCAATAAAACCCACTCCTTGCAACTATTGCACATTACAAACTGTGACTGTGAGCACTTAACACCTACACTACTCTTAAGCACTATAGACTGGGAGTAAATAATTAACACTAAATGCAGGTATCTTATTGACAACACTGGCTGGTCAATCTCTTAAGCCATTCAAGCAATGTAATGTTGCTAGTGGTAGGACTAATTGGGCTGCAGAAATACTGAATATAAATCTAAAGAAGTTATAATGTTATTGTATAAGTCCTTAGATTGCAGTTGGAGTACTATGCTTAGTCAGGAAATTGAATTGTTGGAAAGGGTTTAGAGGACAGATATTAGGATGATACCTGGGATGGAAAGATTGTCATATGAGAGTAGCTTAAAATCCCTGAATTTGTTTGTATCTTGAAAAAAAAAAGATGAGTAAAAAGGGATTTTATTGAGACATTTAAGATTTTAAAGGTAATTGACAGTGTTGATGTTTCATCATTTTTTTTTTGTAATTAATAGTGAGAATGATAAGATTAGGGAACACAAACAAATTTTGGCAGGATAGGAGTCATCTTCAGATAAGACATCTTTATTTTCTAATAGTTTGATTGGTCTTTGGATTGGGTTGTCTTCAGGTGTAGTAGATACAATTAATTTAATAGAGTTTAAGAGAATACTTGATAAACAGTTTAATTATAAGGGCTAGCTTTAAGTGTTTTATTTTATAATTTAGTATAGTGGATGGGATGGTCTAGGTGGACCAATAGGTCCCTTGTTGTCCTTATATGTACATGTAACAGTCTGGGGCCTATTATGACTCTTCCTTAAGTCAGTTCAATATATGTATAGAACCATCTGCATTAGACATTATGCAGAGGTTATTCTCTTTTTGTTAACATGTAATGTCCAAGATAACTGTATTTATCATATGAAGATATTGTTACACTTAGCAGGGCAGAAAATTTATCTAGTTTGTTAATTAAAAATTTCAACATTAGAACTGCAAACAGATAGTAATTGTTTCTTCTATGAGAAAACGCAAAAAAAGGAGCTTTCCTTTATCCATAGTATATGGGGTCCCTACTATGTTCTTCATTTTTCATTTATACACATTTGTCACAACACTACTCGCATTAATTTGTTCCACCTCTTCTCCAGTATATAAGTACTTGTTTATTGCATGCCATACAATTTAACAGAACATAATTATAGCTGAAACAGCATCTACATCAGTTATGTAAGTTATATAAATCAGACCAATTAATACATAATTATTTATCATAAATTCATTAAACTTAGATTTCAGGCACCTTAATGTTTTAAAAGTCAGAATTACCTTATTGTTATAAAACATTATATGATTTAAAATGCAATATAGTTAATAACATTAACATACAACAAGGAGCTATTTGGTCTATAAAGGCTGTTCATTTACAGTTACATCTGAAAAAAAAAGTTCAAATTCAACCTTTATTTTTCAAGAAATCATCTATTCTCCATCTTAAGCACTTCTTAATCTCCAGTAATGCCAGTGTAAACTCATTCCACAAATTAAACACCATTTTGGGAAAATGTATTAACTGGAGCCTAGCCTATATTTAACAATAAAAAAAAATGTTGTATCCCCTCATGTTATTGTAGTGAGAATTCAACACAGAGAAATTAGAGGACTTTATTCTATTGGTCCTCTGGACATAAATCTTGTAAAATTAAGTAAGATTACTTTTTTGCCATTCTTTTCTCAAGAGAAGATGAGAGATCTTAATCTGTCCCCATAAGATAAACCCATATCCATAATCACCATAGTACCCTTTGATCCTCTGAACCCTTTCCAATAATTCAGTATCCTTTTTAGTAGAATAAAACTGTACAGAGTTATTCCAACTGTGGCCAAAGTAGTGATTTGTATAGAGATAATTACCTCTTTTGACTCTTACTCAGTATGTCTATAAATACACACAAAAAGTCTATTACCTTTAATAATAGAAACATATCATTGCCTTAATAGCTTGAGTGAATTATTTACCACTGTGCCAAGATCCTTTTCTTCAGTCATGCTATTGAGTTAAACATTTATCCAAGTTAAGATAAATTCATTACCTTGCAATTACTACAGTTAAAGGTCAGTTGCCAACTACTGACTAACTTACCAAGTAGAAATAATCAATAGTTTGTCATCAACAAAGTTTGCTAATTATGCCCCAATTAATGTCATTAATGTAAATAAGAAAAAGCAGAGACACCCTTGGCTCAGTATTAGTTACAAAGGTCTAGTCTGACTTGATTTCTGTTACTCAGCCACTCTTCAGTCCAGTTAACTAGTTTTCTTACAGAATCATAATAAATGTTACAAAAACTGCATAATAAAAAATATTACTGATAAAATTGTATCATACTGTATCACTAATAATGCAACTGGTAATAAAATGTATAATGTAAAAAAAATTTAAGCTTAGATTTTGCTGTACTTTTTCTTGTTGGAAGAAACTACGCATTTTTAGTGAACTATTTTTTCTTCCTTTGCATTAGTACTAGAACCATTTTGCCTGGAATTACAATCAAAACACTATTATACATACAACTTATTGGCCAAATTGGCAAGTAGCACATCATTTCAAAGAATAATCAACAATTACTCATAAAATAATATGATATGCTACTGTGGAGTGTTATCTACATAAGAAAATAAACAATGACAATAGACTATTCAGTCCTGTTGATTAAACAACTGCTCATTCATTTCACATATTTCACTGTAAAAATATTATATAAACACGTCTTTAGTAATCACTTAGCAGCAGTGTTTCTATAGTGTATTTGATATATACACCTAGACAGTTTATAAGCTTTTGCTTAAAAAGAAATAACCATATGATACTGTGTAATATCCATTACAATATTTTCCCACAGATCAATTAGTTATGGCCTTTTAACAGGAGATCCAAAGGACATCTTGTTGCAAAGTATGTGTTTGTGTTTTTCTTAAAAAGTAGACAACAGTATCTATTAACATGCACCAATTACAGTTACAAATGGGGCATGACATGGCCAAGTGGTTAGGCTGCTTGACTCGCAATCCCATCCCATCAAAATGCTTGCCCTCTCAGCTGTGGGGGCATAATAGTGTAATGGCCAATCCCACTATTCATCAGTAAAAGAGTAGCTCAAGAGTTGGTGATGGGTGGTGTCTTTCACTGCTAAATTAGGGATGGTTAGTGCAGATAGCCCATGTGTAACTTTGTGCGAAATTCAAAACAAACCAAACCAGTTACAAAAAAAGACAAAAGAGTAATGTTTACAGTGGGTTTGCTGGACTGATAAGAGAGGTGTGGAAAAACTTTTAGTTGATCTCTTTCTCTTTCTGGTCCAGGGTGAGCCTTCCTTGTAGGCTAAAAGTAAAAGAAAGTTAAATTAAAGTATTTAAATATAAAGAATCCTGCAATGTTAAAAATTAAACAAAAAACTATGAAAAAGAATGCTATGCTTAAATTTTATAAAGATCTAAGCTAAGTCTCCAAAATCTGCAAGTCTCAATTTTGCAACACAAAGTAAAACCTTTCTTTGAATACTAGACATGTTAATGTTACCAAAGCCAAGTTTGCCTGCAATCACAACTTGTACATGTAACCTTTGTCCACTCCAATCTGAGTAAAAGGGTATGGCAGCCCTTGGCTATTATATGATTTGGTGACAAGAAAGACCTCTGTCTATCTCAAAACATCATGAGTTATCTTTTCTGCTAGAAAATACGGCTAACTGCCAATCTGCATCAAATTTTAAACCAGTGAAAGGAAATTTGAGTTGTTTACATGAGCGCTTCTCTGCATCTAATATGAAGTGAAAGAATATACAGAAATCTTTTGAGAAATTTGCATATTAACTAGCCTCCCCTAGTAGCTCAGTGGTAAGTCTCTGGGCTTATTGACACTAAAAATTGGGTTTTGATACCCTTGGTGGGCACAGCACAAATAGCATATTGTGTAGCCTTGTGAGAAACAAAGAAATATATTAAAGTAAATAAGAGGGGTAGCCAAAGCATGACACAGTCCTCTACCATGCTACATTATCAATATTGTTCAGGCTGATAGTGAGTAATACTGGGTTGATGTTACCTATTAGCATTTAGTTTTTATGAGCAAAGTACATTGTATCTGTATACTAAAGTTGTGCTACATAGGCCTGAATACAATGAAATAAATAAAAATATACTACAAAACACATATATTGTGTGTCAAACTAATAGTTTATTTATCTGTTAATCTTTCTCTCAGTTCTAAGAAAAATAAAATATGTATGAAGTAGATACAATAACTTATGAAAACATGAAATTGAGCAGGAAAAAGCAAAAAGTTTTATTTCAATTCTTTTTGACCCATAATTAATTAAAAATGGTCACTTGATAAAAAAAAAGTTAATCTGACATAATAAGTGCAACTTTTACATTATTCATTTTCCTACACACAATTGTCAGAAATTATGAGAGGATGGATGAAAATAGACATATAACCAAACCTGGATCAAAAAGGTATCTACATTCAATGAATAACTTTGTTTTTTTGCAATTCAACTCATTTTATATTCTTCACATTTTTTGTATTCAATGAAGTGGACAAATATTTTAATGGTGTATAAACTTATTCGTAATGTAGGTTATCAATCCATATGGTCTTCCTACCATTGTACATGTCGAACTTATATGTAAAGCTTTTTCTGGAAAGTGTGGTCATTTGTGGTTTAGTAGTTTTTGTAAACTATAAGTAGTATATGTAAGTTGAAATACAGAAATTAAATCATCTCCAATCATTCTTGATTTATTTTCATATGTGTTTCATTAATTCTTTATAAGAGTGTCTCCACTGTTTTGGTAGTAAAGCTACAGACTTACAGTGCTAAAATTTGGCTTTTGATACCTGTAGTAGGCAGAACTCAAATAGCCTACTAATTTCTAAGTGTACAACAATGAGTATAAGTTATATTTAAAATGAAAGCAACAGTTAAATATTCATGTATACAGTAGTTCTGTTGTAACATAAAACAGTGCAATATTTTACATGTATACAGAGGTCCAAGAATAGGAAAATCCCATTGGAAGACTTCTAGGTGGTTGAAAGTAATATTACATGATCAACTTAAAACAACTGCATGATAATCCTATACTTAGTACCTGAATAATATGATTAATTTTGATTGTAACTTAGTTTATACATGCATTAAAAATAAATTCTTTCACACACAAAAGTTTTTACTGTTATTCTTAATTCTAAACAGTTTAGCCCTGCAAAATGTGCACTGATCGAGAGCATAGATCAATCCTATTTGGTAACTTAGTGGCCTGAAAATTCACAGGGGTCATTGAAGTCATGAAAATGTGCATAGAAATTTGACATGCATGTAGAAGAATAAAAGAGTTAAGACTACTTTTATACTAAGTATTTCCAGATAATTGATTATTGTATATTAAAAGTTCTCTTTAAAGTCTTGTTCACTAAACTTCTTCATTGCAGTTGAATATTGATGTGTTATCCTTAATGCATTTGTACAGACCCTGTTTCACTTCTAAGTACTTGAAGTGGTATCACCTTTCTTGTTTTAAGAGTAGCGTAATTCTTGAATTACACAGAAGATCATAGCTTCAAAGAATGTAGGCAGATGTAGATTGTAATTACACTGTATGATAGATGGATGTATATTATTCAACTAAGAATCTGTTAACTAGTGTAGAATGTACATGTATGAAGTAGAGACAGAATTAAGTATACATTTCATGGCTAAGACATCTCTGACTTTCCTGAAGAAGCTTACATCACTGTTTCTACAGAGTACTTGGTGGTGTAAAAGTATTCTTAATAACCATTTTATTTTCAAAGTGATAATTTTTATGGTAAAAATCATACATACATTATACCAATTATACAATGTATGTACATACCATTCACCTTTCTTATGCATATAGGTATGAATTTAATTTTACTTCTAAAATTGTGTATACATTTTTATAATAGATGTCATATATGATACAAAATACATGTGGTTGCTAATACATGTGTATTGCAATTTACCATTGTGATTCACAGGATTAGATGCATGTAAATTTTTAATTTCAATGCATAAATAAACAAATTCCTATCTCCCAGAAGTAAAGAGCATCTTTGATAGTGTAGAATACGTGCAAAAGACTTGTATTGAATTATGGGTGCTACTATAGCGTGAGGTCTACCGCCATATGTCGCCTACCCAGGTCTATCAAACATGTATAAAAATGTATCAAATTAAGTGTTTATCGCTAAAATAAATGTATGGAAATGTGTGATATCCATGAGGGATGGATAATGCAGCGGTAGACCTCACGCTATAGTACTAACGGGAGGTAGACCTCACGCTATAGTAGCACTGAATTATGTTTCATTCTCAAATTATGATTTTGACAATATTATTATTTGTTCAAATGTTTAAACAAGTAGATATATTTGTTTTTTGTTTTTCAAGCCATCTGTTACATTATGTTTTCCTTTAATATTGAAATTTCTTATTTTTGTGAAGTAGCAAATGAATAGAAACTTTTCCACGTATGCAGTTCAGATATTGTGTTAACAGGTAACAATGAAATATATTACATCAGTAAGCTTTTTAAATCTTAAGACTTTTTAAAGTCTTGTTTATAGAAGTTGTACTTTGATAGTACATTAACTTGTTCTTAATTATTAAAGATCTAATATTGATATTAGTGATAAATGGTACAAAAACATGTATCTTTAGAGTCCAAAGCAAACATATTTGAAAAACTTAAAGTTTTTTAGTATTTATAGCTTGTATTAACGTTGTTAGAATAATTGTTTTGCTTTGGGGTAATTTGTGTAATTAATGTTTTAACTAGCTTATAAGCATAATTAGAGCTATAGTATATGAAAATAATTGGGCAAAATTTCTCTATAGTTGTACTCTTTTTCATCTTGTTTTAATTGTATTTGGATTATAATATAACAGTTATTCAAAATCTGAAGGATTTTTTATTTTCTAATAGTCTTAATTCTGAAACTACAATGACTGTCATTTTTGTAATTTTAGTATTTCTCAAATTTCTTTTCATAGATTTGCCTTGACAAATATGAAAAACAGATTTTTAGTGATTTTTATTGTGATGATATATTATTGGATAAAAGTTATGATGTTAGTTTTTATCAGTTTATCTGAAGCTTCTACATCTTCATGTCATTTTTATTAACTTCATCTTGTTCTATCGACTGATTTTATTAACAACTTATAGTTATTTTTAACTGCACACCAGTTTGAAGGTGTATTTGGGCTAAGTAGGATGAATAACAACTTGAGTGACCAAAGTAAATGCTCAGGAACAAGGTAAAGATTCTACTGTATATGTATATGTTCTAATAACTTAGGCAAAGGTGGTGTGCCGAGATTATTTTATAGTTGTACATATACACAATATTGTTTTGTTCATAAGTTTTAACTAAGTTAGGCTAAGTTCATGTTTATTTATCATTGCTTGCTCTGAATGCCGAATATTTTTACTGTAAACATCTTTTACAAAATGTTTTTAATAACTTTACAAAATTGTTACCACAACTTGACTTAATATTGTTATGTAGAGAAGTTGCACTAACTATTCAAGGAGAGTGATTCAGACTTAGAATTTGAAGGTTTCACTGAAAACAATTTGTAGTTTTGAATATCAGATGTAATGATAGACTATGTAGCTTTGTCAACATACTTTAAAAGAAAAAATGTAATTTGATGTGTTCTAATTTTTGTTAATTATAAACATAGAAAGAAAGTATGTTTCTCCTTCACCAAAGATTCAGTAAGCAAACTTACAAGTGATTTTGTTGTATGTTTACTGCTCCTGAGCTAGTTAATCTCAAAGATTTCTCTATCTAGTCAAATGTAATTAATGTTCTTTATTACATATAAGTATCAAGTTTCTCATGCCATAGCAACTGGTAATCATGTAGTTGTTATCTTAAATGTTGATGTGTTTGTGTGTAATATCTTGTTAAAGAGAGTGGAAAAAATCAGCAAATAAAAAAAGGCTTTGGTGCATTGTTTTTAAGTGTGACATTAATTCCTGGAATTTAAATTTCAAAGAACAAATTTGGAAGTGAAAGAAGTACTGTAACTTGCATGTGCGTAGGTGATTATTGTCAGTACTATTCTTTTTTTTAAGCGGTTTACCGTTCTCAGTACTATTCTTTTTTAAGTGTAAAAAATAGCATTTTTTGTGTTGTTAGGTTGGTAGAAAATGACCTGTGTGATACACATCTTGGAATAATGTACCATTTGTCCCTGGTTATGATATATCAGAGCTGTGTAAAGGGTTTTTTTCAATTTAAGATTCTTCAGATCAACAAACAGGTGGAATAAAATGGATTATTGTCAAAATAAATGCATGAATGAATCTTCTTTAGTATATCAGAGATCATACATGGGATCTTGCTAATGTAAGTTATTATTTTCTAAGCAACACCCTACATATTTGTAGTTTAGCAATAATTAATTGATTGAAATGTTCTTCATAACCTTTAACCCTCTAATAATAAGTGCCTGTTATGTTGCAGCAACTTTAGTTTCTTGGTAAAAACAATCAAACATAACAATTATTAGTGACAATCAGTATGCAACTGTCTGTTTGATGTTAGACACCAAATATTTAACATGCATGCATTGTATTATAGGTACCAGTATTGTTGTAATAGATTTTAAAAATGGTTCAACACAACTAAGTGCAATAGTTAATCTGTTATTTTGTATTAACTTTTCACATTAACTCTGTAAACCAAAAGTTTCAAACTACAGTCAGTGATAACTTTTATTCCAAAGATGTTGTAGTATGATATTGTATTTCATGATGATTATAGTTATTTGTATCTAAATTTTTAGGATTTTGTTTATAAGAATATTTCTTTTAGAAGTGTAATTTAAAAATAGTCTGAGCAGAACTGATCAGCTAAACATACTTTTAACATCAGAGGGGGGTACTTTCTTAAATTTATTATTGTTGTTAAACTGCCTTATGAATGAGAAATCAGGATTTATTTAATAATTAAAGGGAGAACAACATTGAAATAATTGCACAATAAATAATTTATTAAAAACAAGGCCTAGCCCTAAAAAGACCATGTTTTGGTTTCTACATCACCATCCTAAGGATGTGTTCATACCTATTTTTCAAATCATTTGTATAGGTAATGATAAGAGACACGTTCTAGTTTCATGTATATGTTCAACTTTGAACAGCTCTTATCCTTCATTGCCATGGTTGGTAGCCTACGTGATCACTGAAGTCAAATAATTAGTTATCATATTAGTTTATCTTGTCTTTATGGACTATCTCACACCGAATAAGAGAATTAACAAAGGAAATATTTTTTTTTTTTCACACCTGGCTGACTTACTAGACTCTAAAGAATACTTTAAATGGGTATTAATTTATTGGTTTCTGCCATATTGGTTATGTGTGGAGAGAAGAGGGGTTAGAAATTGTTTTCACTTTTTATCCATGGATCTTGC